GGGATTATGTGTTAACAGGTATGAAATTTCTCACTTGTTTATATATTTAGTCACCATCTTGCCTGAAGCAGGTTGATATTAGTTGCTTGTGAGCTGAATTTAAAAATATTTATTTATGTTCATAGTATCATAAGCCTAATTATTCTGTAGGATGTGAGACTGAAGAAACTAACTGCACATATAAAAAGAACAGGTGTATGTTTTATTTTTTTACAGTTTTATTGTAAGAATTTAACGGCCTGTTTTCTGTGTTAGTTCCATTACTGTTCTTTCACCTAATTTTTATAAATAGTTTTGTTTTATAAAAAAATCATTGATGAAAATATGTTTGCCTTTTTTAAAATATTGATAATTTTAAGAAATACATGTCTTATACTCCTGCTCCTTTCCAGTGCTAAAAGTCATTGTTTCATGGTTAGAGCTGCTTTAAAATAATTTTATTAGTGCTAGGTATAATGTTATTGCTGTGGTTCTTGGCTATAGTTGAATGTCTGCATTACTATTTTCTGTGAAATTTAACTATAGTCTGCATCACAAAATTTCTCTATTTTCAAAGTTTGATTTAGCTCCCTGAGAAAGTAGTTTTGTGCATAGTGTTGCCATGTACTATGTAAAATATGAAGTTTAATGTAAATATCATATGGCTGTTCTGCTGTTGAAAGTTGTGTTAAAAGTGTGATTTTGTTACATATGGTGAAATTTCGTAATTTTAAGCAAGTATATAGTAAAATAGGGTTTTGTAAATGTACAGGATGGCTCATAAATTGTTAACTAATATGTAATGTTGGTTAAGACTGAACTATTAATGAAAGTTAACATTTTGTGACAGTCTAGTAATTCTTGTAGAGGGCAGTAAGGATCACAGCTGACTTGCAGTGCACTACTTTTTATATGCTGCTACGAATAGGCAGAGAGGTTGATCATCTTTCAACGATTCTATTCTTTTTCAGAGTTTCGAAGTGGGAAGGTAGCTATCCTGGTAGCAACAGATGTAGCAGCACGTGGTTTAGGTAAGTATCGACTTACAGCACAGGGGTTGAATTATGTTGTTCTGGCCACATGTGGCCAAGTAAGGTCCCCTGTTGCCATTACACATGATTTGTGTTTTATTATATGTTATACAGCATATTAGCTTCTTATCAAGTGATACTTTGCTTTTAATAATGCAGTGTGACTGTTTTCCTATAACATTACTGAGTTTCACATGAATTCCCAGGCTTTATCAAGTTTGGAAATGTTGATAAATTTAACCCTTCAGTGAATGATTGATATTTTGTGCATATTTACCTGCTATGAAACTATAAATTTTTTAGTATAACACCAGAACACTTGAAGTTTAATGATCTTGGTATTTGATTGATAGTTTATTGTTACCTGGGTTTTCATGACTTGTCAGGTGTATTTTTTGTTCACATGGTTAAAAATGTAGCTACTTTAGAGCACCATAAAGCAGAGACTGCAATATGCTTGTAGAATATTTCTATCCATGCTGAAGGTTTGAATACTTTTTAGGCCCATTCACTTGTAGAGTGCCTGTTAAAATCACTGCTTTTGCAAGTTTCTGTACACATGAAAAAACATGAGGATCACTGAACAGATTTTTATTAAATTTGATATCAGGAAGTTTTACTAAAATTTGGACAACAATAATGGGCACTTTACATAAAGACGTACATGTTGCTGTCCTCTTGTGATGGGTCACAGAATCTGCAGTCTACTTTGGTTACCATAATTACTGTGGTTACCTTCTTGTCCTTTGGTTTTCAATGCTGGAGTTCAGAAAAAATTCTGCTCTCATGGATGAGTTGCATCCAGTACTGTAGGTTTTTTAGTGTTTCTGCAAATATTATGGTTTCCATCTTCAGGGTGAGTGTATGTTGGGGGTTTTAGGAACTTTTATGTAGAGCAGGCAGGAGGTGGTGAGTGGGATTTGAGGGCCCAGATGGTAGAAAAAAGGAGCAAGCTGCTATTCAATCAGTTACAAGTACGTGGTTAAGGAAAAGAAGTGTTAAAAACAGTTTTGATGATTCCATGAATTGAGAAAGGAGGTGGTGAAGTAGTGTATCAAAACTTATTTCATCATCATGTGGTCCTAAAAAAACTTGTCAAAACTTCATTTGCTAATGATTGGATAGTTTCCTTCTCCTTTGATCCATCAGTCAGGTCATTCACATGTTGCTTACTGCTTACTACCTATTGCCTGCTCTGCACAAGGCTTTCTAGAACTCCCGATGCATATCACCTTTAAGGTGGCAACTGCATTGTATGCAGAAACATTAGAATACCTACAGCATTTGACATGGTTTATACCTGAAAGATGAAGTTATATGTGTGGCTACCGTGGTTAAAAGGCAAAAGTCAAATTCTAAAGACTGAGCCAGAGCTCTTATGCTGTGTGTACAGTTCATACTTTTTTCTGTTACATTGTTATATACCAGAGAGGAAAAAACATCTTGTTTGGAGCTGTTCTTAGCAAGATGACACAGAGTGATCAATTCAGAAAAATGTGAATGTGTAAGGTTGAAGAATATGTTTTCTGTGATCATTTGACTCTGCAAACTGAGTATTGTGCTGTGTCACAAGCTTTATTACCTACAGAACCCATCAGCACACAGTAATACTTATTGTAGTTGACTGACCCAGATATATTGACCTGGAAGACAAGTCTTGCCACTGTAACCACCCCTCTTAGTGACATTAAGAATACCTGAAATATTTGTCCACAAATTAATATTTTCTGAATTAGTATTTGTCGAGCAATGCTTATCTAATTTTTGTATACAATTCATATCAGGGCATTTCTCATTAATGATACTGTGATGCAGCGAAGATACGAACCTACTGGGCATACCTGTAGTTGAGTCAGTTCTCCAGTGTCTGGTCAGCATAAACTTGTTTTAAAGCGAATATTGTCAGCGTATGGTGTTGCAGACACTCTGAGGTCTGATACAGTTATAACTTCAGCAATTAACATTGTTTTATCTTTTTATGTTACCTTCTATTCAACTATTAGTTATTAGTTATTAATTTTAAAATTGGAAGTTACATTTTTGTCTCTTTACTTTCAGCCCTTTAGAACTGTGTCATATTTTGAAATGAAATGTGGCAAGTCTGAAATGTTAATCATATTTTGCATACATTAGCCCTGTAATTGCCAGCTGTTGAATCAGGTTTACATTTAATGAAATGCTCATAAAACAAAATTTTGTGTCCAAACTGTACTATGACATGTATTTTAACCTCTCTTCTTGAATTGGGATTTTGAGTGAAAATGTGAGAATCAAATAATTTGTTTAACAAACAGAGTTAAAAATGTTATTGCCATCTTCCATTGATGTTTCTGCCAAGGTGGGTCTTTTTATGATGGTCTTCATTCTTTCTTGTCTTCTGATAAACAGTTCGCTTGTATGTGTGTCCACTTTGTCTATCATGTCTTTGGTTTCTCTGGTGGTCATTTATTGACTGTTTTTATTCTTGATCCTCTAAAAGGAATCCTGTTGTCATCCATACTTAACACAATTGTATCCTTGGAGCACCATTTCTCATAGATTTCTACTTTCAGTTCTTTAACATATACTGTAACCCCTCATGCATGTGCTAGTATGTCATAAATTTAACGTAAGACTTAAAGTTGCCCTAAGTAGTTTTAAGAGTCCATGAAGTTGATATTAAAAAGAAAGGTTTGTTGCTTTTTTCATTGTTGAGATGTTATTGTTTTGTGGACTGTATCCAGGTATTGAGGTAACTTGATTTAATTTTCCTTTTACTCATAATTTGGCCTGCCTTGACAGAAGTTATGAAATAGGTACTTTCATTGAATGATCTCTGCATATATGAAGCAATTCTTTTTTATTTTTAATGTGGAAGATTGCTTATACATTTGCATTATGTATTATGTTCTTGCTTTTTCATCAGTTGGCAGTTCTAGAGTTGGTGTATGTGAAATTAGGTGATACGTAATTGTTTGTTGTTTCAGGGTTCTGTATATTGCCTAATTCTCATTACCTGGTGAAGCAAATTGTTCATTATTAAATGCCAGTGCCTCCCTTTCTTTTTGTTTTTGTTTTGAAGACAGTAAATGTGGTGGTGGTGGTGGTGATGTTTTGAAAATAATCATACTGCACTGAGAAAAATTATATTCAGCTTCAGCAACAGTTTGTGTAACTTATGGCATGTTTATTGTAACAGTATAACCAAAATTTAAAAAAAAAGTCTGAGCTGCATTGTGCTATCACAGAAAGTGTGCAGAAGAAGAGTTGAGTTGGGGTATGGAGGTGAACAATGTGTATAAGATATTGTGGCAGCGGTGGCCAGACTGGTTGACAAAATAGGAAAAGCTGATGCCCGATGCTGTCAGGTCTCACTGGAAGGAAAGATGAGAAGTGTGAAGACTGGATCACTATGTGACAAGTTGAAGATTTCTTGAGTTAACCTATTCCCTTACTATTGTCCGACTGCTGGACATAACCTCCGTGCTTTGTAGACTTCATAGAGGAAAAATTTAATGCTTTTATGTTGGTAAAATAAGTGGATGGGTTAACACTGTCACTGAAATTTCAGTATCTTCACTGAGGGTTCAGACAGCTCTCGACACAAGTCTTTCCTTGATGTGGTTGTGTGAGTTGTGATAGTATGCATGTTATTCTCCCTTGTAGCATCTGTTTGGATGCTGCTGTTATTCACATCAGTATTGTTTGTCAGTGTAAGGTTGCTGTTATTCTCCTTTGGGCATCAATTTTATATTTGTCAACTAATCAGTCTGGTTTGTTTCTATTTCAGAGGCACATGCAAGATAAAATTAAACGTGATTCTATATACGTCTGGCAGTGCCTCTGATCGGTTGGTTACTCCTCAAGGGCATCGCCCGTACTATTGGAAGCCCGCGGGAGAGTTAGCCAGCCACAAGCCATTTAATCATGCCACGATTGTCCGCACGTTTCCTCCTTCTACCCCCCAATATGTTAAACCTGTGAGCAGTAGGTAGGGACTTTCAGTACAGTGCTAGAGGTTATGATGTGCTCCATGTATTGGATGATTTGAAGGTAACTATTGCATTAGTAACATAAATGTAACCGGGAGGTGAACAAGATGACTTCATTGATTGTGCTTTCATGAAATTACATTGACAGTGAGACTTAATGTCCAAGGCAGTATTGAGCAGAAGGCTGTATTTGTTACTTGGGCTCATAAATTTGCAAACATTAACTTAACACCTCAGTCATTAAATTATTTATTCTAAAGTAGATTTGAGCAAGATACAGTATTTCAATAAAGTGATGGGCTGGCTAGTAAAGTGATTGGCTGTAGGCTGGACAGTCAGTTCAGTTCCTGGCAGGGGAAGAATGTTTTTCTTTGTCACCAAGTTCACATCTGTTGTAGAGCCCACTCAGATACCTATCCATGTGTACTGGTGGCTTGTTCATGGAGAGTAAAGTTGTTGGAAGTTTGAGAATGACCACTAGTCTCCACCTAGTGCCAAGGTTAAGAATGTGTGTAGGATTTGACACTTAATGTTTTGTTTCTTTATGTGAGCTGTTAAGATTGGCTATTTCACTGTTGCATTCTGCAAGGAGGAAAATGACATTAATTTCTGGAGCATAGTCTTTATTGAGAAGGTAACATGAAATTCTGAGGTCCTCTGTAAACATTTTGTAACATGATTTCACCTCACCCTACTCCCCAAGCTGGAGGACTGCCCCTTCCTGGCTTTACATGCCTTATACTCTATATATTTTAGCCCCACACTGTTGGAGACTCTTTCATACATCCACAACCTGAGGATGTGCCTTGCTATGGCAAGAAGAGATACTTTTAATGTCGTCATTTCAGATTAAAGAAATGAATATAAATTATTTAATTGGATTGGAATACACATACACATTGTAATTTTAACTTTATTTGCTTTGAAAGTTTTATGATGTGTCTTTGTATGTACTGTTAAGTCATTCTAAAAATGGCAGATTTGTGTCTGCAATAAATGAACATAAGGAAAATATTGTGTACTACAAATTGGAATACACCTTTTCACTCACTGTTTAATCTCGTTCTGTACCTCATCTGCGGTTTTGTTAACAATAGGCAGAAGTATCTTGTTCACCTTCCTGCTATTTGATTAAACTATGAATTAGGTACTGTGAGTATGTTGAATATGGTGATGTGTAAATTCTTCTGATTATCAGTTTTGTTTTCAATTCAGATTACTTTTTGCATGTGTGTAATCACTTCACATTAGTTTTTACTTGCATTATGTAACCTATAACAACAGTTCTGTTTTATTCAGATGAAGCTAGTGATATTTTAATATTTCACATAGTATAAACGTACTCATAGGAGGTTCATTTTATTCAGATGTTGAGGATGTGAAGTTCGTCATCAACTTTGACTACCCACAAAGTTCTGAAGATTATGTCCATCGTATTGGACGTACAGGTCGTTCGCAGCGTACGGGCACAGCATACGCATTCTTCACACCTAGCAATGCAAAGCAGGCAAATGACTTGATTGCTGTTCTGCAAGAAGCCAACCAGGTCATCAACCCCAAACTTCATGAGATGGCACAGATGGCACGGTCTGGTGCATTTGGAGGAAGGAGTGAGTGAAACCCTACATTGGACACATTTGAATTTTGTGAATAATTTTATGTCTTTCTGTTACCTATTCCTGTTTAAACGTGTATGGTCACTTAATTCGCAGCGACAAGCTTCAGTGTTCAGGAAATTGCAGTTTTAACAGATGTGTGCCTAATAATAAAAATATTTGAAGCACAGTGGAACCCCAGTAGATTTGCAATGCTAAATATTCACATATTATAACAGCACTTTGTTCATACTTAAACAGAACATTGTATATATTGAAAGAAACATGGTGTCTAGTCAGAGCATTCACAACAATAAACAATTGAAACTTCCAGTTATTGTTTGATTATTGTTTATTGCTTAATTGTTGAGTACTATTCAAGTCATCACTTTAATTGAAAATTAGAAATTGCATTCTTCACTGACCAACTACTTTTGATGTGTGAGATTTCAGTCAGAGGTTCCAGTTTTCTGGTTTTAAGATTCAACTGAAGTGACTTGTGTATTCTTGATATCCTTCAGAACTCTTCATTGTTATGTACATATACTGAGCTGGTGAACTTAACTGTGTACTACTAACATATAGAAGCTCCTGACTTTGAGTATCAGATCATTGGCTAACTGTCTTGAGATTTTTCATTTTTCTCAGTCCCTAAACACAAGGCAGGAATATTTCCATAAAACTTAACATGACTGTGTCCACATCCTGCCAATCTATCGTCCTCATAATTGAAGTTGTGTAATATTAGAATTCACATTTTAGTACATTAAGAAACAAAGTCCTACTTCAGTACATTTGAGGTTTCCTTGTTAATACTGCATTGTCATTTGAATAAAAATTTCCTTGGATATTATCCATCGTCTAGTAAAATATAAAATATAAAAAAAATTATATTTTACTAGACGATGGATAATATCCAAGGAAATTTTTATTCAAAAGACTTCACCATCGTCAAGAAGTTTTAGATTTGAAATACTGCATTGTATTCTATTCATCATATAGAAGGAAGTAGGTAACCAATAAACCTTAGTTGTTCCCCTATTTGACATAGCAGCACCAATCCTCATAGTCCTTTTGGTACTAAAGTGGTGAAGAGGTAAAAATTACTAAGTGAAGTTGAAGGTTGAAGCAATTTCATTTAAAATGTAAGCAATTCTCATTATTTTGACATGTGTGGTACCCAGAAGACTTTGGAATGAATACATACTGCCTTGGAAACTTCATGTTTATAATAGTACACCTAGGTTGGGAATGTGGCGTTACATTACATGTTTGTTCCAGGTCGGAGTCGCTGGGGCAAAGGTGGTGGTAATGATAGAGGGCCACGTGGCAGTGCCAGTGACAGAGGACCTCGAGGTCGGGGTGATGATAGGGGACCTCGTGGAAGGGCAGGAGATGACAGAGGTCCTCGAGGTGGTGGTGACCGTGGAGAGCGTGTAGATCGTGGAGGTGACCGAGGTGGTCCACGAGGAGGTGGTGACCGTGGTCCAAGGGGAGGAGGTGCAAACAGAGACAGGGGTGGGAGATCTAGTCGCTGGGGAGACAAGAGCCAAGACCGTGGAAGCAGGTTCTCAAACAATAATGAACCACACAGTGCAAACTTCCAACCATTGGGAAATCCCTCCTCAGGCAGCAGGGGAGGGTTAGGACAAAACAATGTTTCTCAGATGGGTGGGCGAAGTGGTTTAGGGCAGAATCCACCTTCACTGTTGAGTTTGCCACAGCAGCCCCCACCCCCTCCCCCACCACAGGCAGGAAACATGAACCATTACCAACATAACAGTAACAAGAACTCTGCCCCTACTCCATACTATCAGCCCAACAACCCTCCACCCAATATGACTGGCAACAATGTGGGATATACAGGGTATGGCCAGTACCAGCAGATGAATGGCTATGCCTACAGTCAACCCCCACCACCACTTCCCAAAAATTAGGGCAAGATATGTGTTGTGACTACTGTGTCAGAGCTTGTCACTAGTGGCAGCACATTCCAGTCACCAAGGCCTTTTTATTATATTATTTCAAGGGCATATACTTGCTATATAACATTTTAAAAATGGTTTCATTTTTAGAGCAGATTGCAGTCATACTGCTCATGAGATGGCCTGTGTACAGCAGTCAGAACTGACTGATGATTAAGGGACTGTTTTTTGTTCCATTGCACATACACAGCAAAATATACTTACAACTAAATCCCAGGGGACCTGACAGTCTTTCTTCTTTAGATATTTTTTCATTCAACACTTTAAAATGCCATTGCACATTCTACATTACCACTGTGTTATGATGGTTGTTCAAATGAAGAGGCCATAAAAATTGTCTGTATGGGGATTGAGGTAGGCATCCTGTTGATGCAGCAGTTAATGGATTCTCTCCACATAGAACAACCTGGGCTGCTTCTGGAACTATTGCACCACTGAGGGCCTTGATATCTTTGTCTGACTCAAATCTGTGGTCCTTTAGAATATTCTTGAAGGGGCTGTAGGCATGGGAAATCATATGGTGACAGGTCTGTACTGAATGGGGGATGGTCTAACACCTTCCAGTGCATACAACAGCATGTCCTGGATAGTTCAGGCCATATGCCAGGATATTTTTCCTTTATGGCAGTCCAGAGATCTCGATTCCACAACAGTGCCTTGCATTGTAGGTGATGTCAAGGTCCTTGATTCAGTTTGGATGAAGACATGAAGGCCATGGTGGTGCAGTGGTTCCAGCTACAGCTCAAGGAATTCTTTTGCAGAGGGGATTCATCAGCTGCTGTGTGGATGGAATGCCTGTCTGAGTTCACTTGGAGAGAAATTTTCCTATGAAGACATATGTTTCTGTTTAATCAAGATTTCAATTTAAGATGGGTTTCACTGTGCTTTTTGTAATGTATGTATTTTAATGTACAAACTCTATTATACCCCCCCCCCCCCCCCAAAAAAAAAAAAAAAAAAGTTGACGCTAGACTAACTCCTTTCTCTTCAGTCCAATTTTACTGTTATATTATTTGTGTATGGGAAAATTTGGTAAACTGGCCATTCCATGAGTACATATGGCAGTTCTAGCACACCTTGTTGTATTGACACGGACACAAAATTATTATTGTAATTTCGTATGGCTGCTGGGGGTCACAGGAGCTTACCTTAGTTTTGCTAGGGATGAATTATGAATAAACTGTTATTTTTGTCTTCTTTTCAAAATTGTGCTTTGTCAGTATTTCCTGCACCGTAGTGGCAGCCTCCTTCTGCGCAATATGTAATGTGATAGTGTCTTGATTTCATCTGTCATGTAATCTCAGTCTTGCAGTTGTTGACTGTAACAGCATCATGTATTTCACCCAGTCTGTAGTGTAGGTATTTTATAAATTGGAAATAAAATATACAGTAATATTGTGCTCTATATTTTATCAGACAATGCCACTGATTCCACTTTTGCCCTCTTCTCATCTTACTAATGTAAGTACAATCTGCAGTGATGCAAGGTTTTGCTTAAGTAATTGTTAATATTGGCTAATGTTAAGAAGTTATTCAGCTATGGTATGGCTAAACTAAATGGTTCAAGGCCTTCCTCTAGCAAATAATATTCATCCAGAAAGTACTCTGATATTATGGATTCTGAGACTTCATCACTACCACAAAGCTTGAAAATTGCTACATATCATGTGCTGTTTGATTCTGCTTCATAGTGTATTTCTTGTGAGATACAGTTTGTATAATCCTTTTATCTGAATCAAGTTATCTCAAACGATCTCTTGAGGTTTACCAACAAAACTTCTGTATCCATTTTCCTCTCTCCAATGCATACTTTATCTCCATCCTATCCTTGGTTCATTTAACACTACTTTTAGTAGTTCAGATTATATTGTGTGGAATGATGGGATGAACTGTATTGGCAGAAGATTGCAAGTATGAAGTTGTGCAATTTTCTTGTTCTAAGTTACTTCAGCTCTCATAGATTCAGATATCCATCATAGTGCTTCATTGTTGCCCTCACTCTGTTCTCGTAGAGGGGGGCTAAATGAAACAGGTACATTTATTGATTTGTTAATATTGAGGCTATTTTGGAGGGGAGGTCAAAGATAAAATTAACCTGTACTGAATCATGGCAAGCATTTTTTTAATATAACATCTTTATTTTTATGTTTTAGGTTCATGTCAAATTGTTAGTTGTGTACCACTATCTTCATGTCTAATATAGTGGATAAATTCACATTTTTGTGTGCTTGTGGGGAAACAGTAAATTAAAAATGATCTTATACTAGACTGGAACAGTGCAGTGACTGACTATGGAATGGATAACAGGTTTGAGCCCTGATGGGGGCAGAAGATTTTTCTTATAGCATCAGTGTCCAGACCAGCTGGGACTGACCCAGAGTTGTATCCAATGGGTTGTGGTCCTTTCCTGGGGGTAAAGCGCAGCTGGGGCGTGATGCTGACCATTCACCCCCATCTAGTGCTGAGGTTAAGAATGAGTTTGAACTGTACATCCTCTCCCCCAGGTGCCTACATGGCATATAGTGGGACAGCTTTACTTGACTATAATTAGTAGAAGTAGGCAGTTTTGATTTTCTTCACCCCTGTGGCCCCTGGAAGTCACCTCTTTTACAAATATAACTTTGCAGGCATAGAGTTTGATGTGCCCATTTTACATAATCTTTCTTTGACCCCAATAATCTTCCATGTCAAGTGTATTTTATTCCACTGATCAACTTTTCAGCAGTTGCATTGTCCTGCAGAAAGATGTCTTCTCTACCAGACAAATCCTAACACTGATGTAATAGTTTACACAAATGCAGAAACTATTCTTTGTAATGAATCAGCCAGATTTTAAACATTGTTTTCTTAGTTCTGTATTGATTATAAAACATAGATTCAGAGGGCCTTGACTTTGTATCAGAAAACTGATCATTGAATGCAGTGTATAGTCTATGATAAATGTTGAAATATATGTTGGTTTACCATTTTTTAAAATCATTTATAGTGGGACAGCTTTACTTTATTGTCAGTTACAAACATATGAAAGGGTCTGTTTTCATGAGACTTATGGAAAGATGTTAGGTTCTGAAGGTGTTAAGATGGGAGAGATGATGGTACCATAAGCCTACACTCCCTATGTGGAATGTAGGATAATTTATGAAGGAACATCTGCTTTCTGCTGCAGGCTGTATTTTTTCCCACACTAGTCATAGGGTTTTAGGTTATGCAATGCCTTAAAAATTCTTTACAACTTAAAGCAGTGGTTTTCAATGTCTTGTTTCAGTTGTCCTAAATTAGTTATAAATATAGCATCTAAACCTTTGGGATAAATGTTTGCCATTTATATAACTGGGAAACTCATGACAGCATCTCTAGCATCACCATTCAACATCACATGCATTCAAGGTATTCTGGATATGGGTTCTAATTCCATTTCAAGTATAACGTAGATGACGGCTATCTTCTGGGCTGTTGCACCATGTAGTCTGGACCTCTGAAACGGTGAACTTCTACCAGGCTACATGGTACAACCCAGAAGACAGCCATCTTCAGACTCACTGCTGTGAAAACCTCGAACCCTACTAAGTGTAACACTACTGTTTCATAAGAGATTTATTTGCATTTAACATGTAACATGGCTATTATACATTATATGAAAAACTAAGATGACTATCAATTGTTTTTAGTGGTGTACTTCCTCTTGGGGTACCTTTGAATCATTGAAATCTATCTGTTCTTCAGGAGTATGAGGCCAGAATGTGGGTTTGTTCAGTGGATCTAATGCCTGCAACAGGAGATACAGATCATAATATTATCTTCAGATGTCTTGGCCATCGTGTTTCGAGGAATTTTCATTTGCCCTGGATGACAAGAGATAAAGAGGATGGCCAGCAAAACCTTAAACATAAACATGGAATTTAAACAGCCATGGTGGGGGCAAGTTATATCACACTCAGATCGTACTCTCAAGAGTACCACACTTCACCTGACTGAGTGTAGATTTCTTACCTCGAGTTCCATTCAAAATGATATAAAACATTAGCAACACAATTCATAATTCAATTGTATGAAAGTTTGGATGTAAACACTTTGCAAGAGAACTATTTTAGAAATTTAATGTACTTCCCCATACACATTCTTACTCATCACTCTTGGTTGTTGTGAGCACAAGTTTCAAACAACTTCTAACATATAGCACAAACACAATGCATACACATGATATCCATATGCTGAATGCTAACCTCATTAGTTATCAGAAAGGTGCTTACTATGAAGGAATCAAATTACTCAGTACTCTTCCAGTTAGCATTAAAGATTATGACACGATACAGATGTATTTAAGCCAGCACTGAAAGATTACCTCACTCCTACTCGATAGAATTTGCTCCAATTGAAAATGTTAAATACTGTAAATATTTATGTAAACATCTGTAACAACTACTTATTTATAGTTATACTGGTACTGTATTCATATTATGATAAACCACAACCTTGGATTGCACTATGGTTTATAATGTAAATAATTATTCTAATGTACTCTATTCTAACCCACCAGGTCTGGGTATGCATCCTTAAAGTCTTCCATTGTCATCTGTTCAAATGGGAGTAGGCTCTTCAAACGGGCAATTTCTGCTTCATAACCAGCAATTCGGGCATCGGACTGCTTCACGAATTCTTGTACCTCCTTCAGCTGAAAGCATAATTTGGATCAATAAACAAATATCGTAACAAATTTCAATAGCGATTTTAAATGTGTAACAATTACTAACCGCCTCTTTCTCCTGCTGGTCAATCTGGGGTGTTACATTATCAGATGGGTAAGGAATATTCAGAGCCTCGTATTTCTTTCGGAAATCATCAACCATGCCTTGTATCGGTACATGGGTCGTGTAATAACCCCAGTTAATTTTGGGCGCGGCTTCCGGATATGCCATCATTCTGAAAAATCAAAAATTTCAGTTGGCTGTTCATTTCATTCCTACAGAGCAGTTTTTCAGTCACTAACAGCTATTGTTAAATTACCTTCGTAGATACCCATCAGATTTCGCTTTGAACGCTGTAAAATACACCTTCTGGTTTTCAGGCACTCTTTCTGCTAATGCTGTCCAATTTATGGACGACTGTGTTATACGTCGAGCTGCCATTATTTAATTATTTTTGGCACAACTGCAGTCCTCAGCACTATGAAACCAAGATGGCCGAGCAGATATACGACATCGCACTACGTTACGATAACTTTCACTGATAGCTACCGAATACAACCGAAAGGGGGAAGAAATATCTGCTTTCGCTGTCCCGCCATTTGTTGCCGACTACTAACGAAAATTCACGGACGTCAAATTTCCCGCCCTTTTAGATGTAAATAGAATCGTCTGCTACTTGTCGCTCATTCGCCATGTTGCAGATCGATAAGTACGGAGGGCAGGACATAAAGAGGATAGGATATTATAGCAGATTATAAAGTTTTTGTGCGAGATTGGATACATTAGAATGTAGTGATGCCCAAAAAAAGTACAAGAGACAGCAGATCCATAGGAAGAACTGGATGGAAACCAAAGACAGTTAAACGAAACTCGAATGATAAGCGAATCTTCAACAATATATATATTGGTGCTTGTAACGCTAGGAGGTGGATTATATTGAAGAAGAGATTAGACTACCATAGTGATGTGGATTTTGTTGCGTATTTATTGGATCTTGCAGAGCCTCAGTCGGTGTAAGGAAAATAGCATAAGTTGCTTATTTATCCCGAAACCATTGTTGAATGGAATAATAATTTTGGGCTAGGGTTGTACAGCGGAGGGTTGGGGGTGTGGTTTAGGGATTAGAGCTATTGGGATGCTGCAAGTAGACATTAACGATCAATAGATTTCCCGCCATTTTCTGCTGTACATCAATACTGTCGTCTGCTAGAAATGTTTATAAAACATTTGATTAAAATTATTTACTAAACTATATAAGATCATGCATACAAACGAATCTGTTTACAGTGTAAACAGTTTTGTTTGTATGCATGATTTTATATACTTTAGATAAATATTCAACACTGCACGGTATGCAAGATTTTAAGATTATTTACCAACATTTTGTTGATGTTATTCTCAGTTTGCTTGCGGTCGATTTGTGATTATTTTTTATTGACACCTGATTTACCCAGGCGTATTTTCATCAACTTTCTGTGCGAAATTTGGACGTAAACTATAATGGAGCATTCAGCTGTTCATGTTTTTTATTACACTATCTTAAGAAAGTTTGACTTGCCGTGTTATCCAATTACACATATTCTAGGCGTTCAGAAGTTTTGTACCGGACTTCGCGATGGAATAGTTGGCATTACTGCTTAGTACTCTGAAGGGTTGAGGTTCATATCTCGGCTGGAGATGGGTTGTCATGATGGATTTTTTGTGGTTTTTCTCAGTCCATCCAAGAAAATGCCATGATAGCACCTACCTTAAATCAGGCCACGACCATTTCCTTTCACACCCTTTCGAATTTGTTATTACTTAATCATCCATCACTATATAGTCTGAGTTACTAACATGATAAATAAATAAATTAATTTTTTCTTCAATTATCAGTTAATGTATTGCTTATTTATCTCATTGCTTTATAAATAAAATGCATCACTTGATATATATTTATAACAATTTAAAATGTGTTTAAATGCCATGTCATTGTAATGTTGTATTTAGAATTTTTTTTGTAGACATTTATGTAATCTGGGTTTCAAGAGGGTTTTGAAGAACATGTTCTAGTTATTGAAAATAAATATGCTGTCATGTATCCACAGCCATAGCTTTCCAGGTCCATAGAATATCTTACTAGCCAATAGTGAAAGCTTTCTGACTGGTACTTGATATTTATACCTGTAATTTCTTAGTTTTTATTATGATTGTTTCATATTTACTGGAAATTATGCCACTATTTGAATCTGAAGGCAGACAAACTTAAAACCTGTGATAAATTTATCGACTTTGCTTCTTTCAATGTTTTTAGCATTTTAACATACTTTTAATTTTAGTTCTGCCAAATTGAAAACAATTATACTATTAAAGTGTGACCCTAACTACAACAATGCTTGTAAGCTTTTGGTGACATCTAAGTATAACAGAGCAAATGAGATATTTAGATTCTATTTGTTAGAAAGAACTTACAGGACATCTGTACAGCATATGCTGAAAATGTCTGTCACCTTCTTGAAGACAAGCGTCCACTTGAAATTTTGTTACCAGCTGGTATATTGTTGTCTAATTCTGTGCTTCTGTGTCAGGATACAATTGCTAAATGCTTCATGAGCAAACAATTTCTGTATAAAGTAACATTCCTAAACGAAGACACATTATACTTACGAAAAACACATGAATGTTCACAGCTTTTGCACAGCTGGCTTGATCAGCAGCCTAGGAACCAGGATGACCTTGATTTTAGTGTCACTGGAGGTTGGGATAGTCCATTACATGGGGTTGGGCCTGCTTCTGATTTCATTTCTGTAGTGTAGTATGTGATTGTTAGGTTGCAACGTAAATGGCTCATTCTGTATTCTGTGAGTTTGCCCAACAGCTAACCTTGTAGTTTTATTCCATTGTTTGTTAATAGGCCAAATTGTGGACCCATCAGTGGTCTGTGTGCCTGGGGTGATTGAAGTTGTCTGCCCTAGATCAGTACCAGTAATATGCCAGGTAGTCCGCTTTAGCAAAAGCATTTTGTATTTCAGCTTGAATGCATAATAGTCATGTCACCTGTCTAGGTGTACTTGATTGTTTGTTAGAAAAAAGAGAAACAAACTTTTTTCTGCCTAATTTTTTTTTTCAATGGAGTTTTGCATTAAGAAATAATTGTCAAGCAAGTGTTATTTCTAGCAGTTTACTGAGTACTTATGTAAGGGTGATAGTTCACAATTTTCACTGAATTGGAGCTTCTTCCCATTTTGTTGTCACTGTGCAAGATTCGCTTACCATGACATTTCTAAACTACAGGATATATCAAGAAGTACACAGAATATGGACCTTAAAGTCACTTGTTTGAGAGTAAAATTTAAAGAATAAATATTTGCAATGATGATGTTGTTTTTCTGGGTTATGGCACCATGTAGGTGCATCAATAGCTGCTAACATTGGAAAAACATGCTCTCTCAATCTTCAGGGCTGAAGTCACAATGTTCCATTTTCCAGCATCACCACTTCAGTCTTAAAAATGCAGACAGTATGTTTCACCAAAGATTGTATCTGTGTTTATGTCAGCATTGTTAACCCTTGCATATTAGCAAAATATACTGATAATTTAGAACCACCTGATACTTGGAAAAATTAAGGTATATCATGTACATTGGTACAAGGAAAATTTCTGGATTTACAGCTGATGTTTCAGTCTGTCGCCTAGGACAGGGTCTGGTGGAGGTCTTTGGCTAATTCGGTGATGAACCTTCGGATTCAGTAAGCCATCTAGTTAGTTAGTTACAGTCTGTCTCAGTAGGTGGGTAGTAAATAACTAAGCAGTCAGATGGTTTGAAACACTGTTAACTGACTGTTTCAATTTAAATTGTTAGTGTTGATTTAATCCAGTGACTGTTAGTGATAGTCATATTTTATCCATAGTTGATTTAGAAAGAATCCTTGTAACTTATTTACTTATAATTAATTCCATGGAGCAGTATCCTTTTTGAGAGCTAGTAGTCACTCATCTAGTTACAGAAACTCCCTGACTAATGGAACACACTGGACCAAGACAAATTCAGTCTGCATCCTCACACACAATTTCTTCAAGATACATTTTAATTTTTCTTTCTGATCTACTGATTTAAGAGTAATTACAGAAAATATGAATATGATATCTGTTTCATCTATGAGCTGTTTCATTTGTAATTATTGAATCTTTCTGATTATTATGTTTCAATACATTCATTTGACCTATCTAAATGACTGTACTCTTTTCACCTCTCACCACTTTAAGCATTTTTAAATTCCTCTCAATTTCATTTATAAATCTGTTTCTTTTTCTCTGGTGTACATCTTAAAAGTTTCATATTCATCTCTTATAGTTTGCTTTTATTCTGTTTGATTTCTCGTTTCAGCTCCATAAATGAACATTTGTTTGAAGTACATCTTATATATGTTACTGTGAGTTGGAATAGTTCAGTCAGTAAAATGACTGACTGTGGGTTGGGTCACCAGAGTTCAATTCACAGCAGGAACAGAGATTCTTCTCTTTTTCACCATGTTCAGACCTGTTTTGGGTCTACCCAGTCTCCTGTCCAGTGGGTACTGAGGGCTATTTCTTCAGGAATAAAGGAGATAACTTGCTGTACTTGTACATAATGTTTCAAGACATTATAGGTATAAGATTGGTATCTTTATCCTGGGACAATTTTATGTGTCATAAGGAGTATGAGAATGCTTTACTATATTTGCAGAAAGGGTACAGTGCTCCCAAAGTCTGATGATGCAGATAAGAAAGATGACGACAAGGATGATAGTGCACCAGTGAGGGAGTTTGAAGAGGACACAAATGACAGGTATAGTGAATAAGTGAACAATGAATATACTTTGTTTGCAAATATACTTCAGGCACTGAAGTTCCCACCGCAGTGGTTCTCATGTGACTGTGTTTTCTTCAGTCTTCTCTGGCCTCTTTGTATCTGTGTCCACTACTTCCCTTCTCTCTTTCATATCTTGTACCCACATTCACATTGTTGTTACTACCTTGTGACTCCCTAGTGGAAGTAATGATGAATTTTATTGCATTAAACTAAAAATGAATTTGTTCACTGTAGGTTAATTGTGTAAGATTAATTTAAAAATTATTAGTTCAGTTATACCTGTCTTCTAAGCAGTCTCATTCATTAAAATTTTCTAACAATTTTTTTCTTTTCACTCACATATATCATTATACAGTAAAATCTCTCTAAGCTGGACACTTGGGGTTCCACGAATGTGTCGAACTTACAGAGGTGTCCAAGATAGAGGGAAA